TTTAAGACTGATATCAAGATAATAAAATAAATTCTCAACTGCCACATTAATATGAGGGGTGAAAGGATTTTATTGTACACATACTATCCCTTAATAAAGATGATTAAGAAAATGAAACATCAAAAGAGAATTTTTTTTCATGTATACAAAAGGACAGGAAGTACACATCCATAGACACAAACACACACTGACTTATCATAACTAAACTTCAGACTTGTATCTTAAGATAGATTGAAAATCATTACCATATTCAAGACATCAGTAGTTTCTCCCAGGTTTTCAGAATCTGCTATGGAAGAAGTGTATGCTTCTATTTTGGTCATTTTATCTGAATGAATAAAGGGATTAAAGAAAAACTAGATTTAAATTAAAATATAAAAAGCAGTGAAACAGAAACTGTAATGTAAAGTGCAAGTATAATTCATCCTTAGCTCCTTTAATCTCCTTAAGCAAGAGTCTGTCACAGGTAGAATAGGTTTCAAAAACTCTTTTTGAAAGCTTTATAAACTTTGATCAAGGGGGAAAATGGGAGTTTTTTTTTAGAGGCTAAGTTTATCTTAACAGTGGTGAAATAACCTAGAAAGGATAGTGATACATGTTGCAAAGCACCGAACCTAATGAATTGCAAATGTGAAAAATGTTGAATTAATGAAGGGTTTATTGTTGTTTTTATTTTCACCACAATTAAAAAAACAAACCCATTTTGCCATAAATCAGAGATAACACTTGCTTCATTCATACAAAAAGACACACACTTTTAGCCATCCTTCAAAATAGGCCCAATGACTTTGTAAAATGGTACAACTACCCTGGAAGGCAGTTTGGCACTTCCTCAAAAAGATGAACATAGAAATTCCATATGACTCAGCTATTCCACTGCTTGAAATATACCCCAAGAAAAAGAGAATTGAGGCAGAGACTTGTACACCAATATTCATAGCAACATTATTTGCCATTGGAAGAACATGGAAACAGCTCAAATGTCCAATCACAATGGAATGGATTGAGAAATTATGGTACATTCACATGATGGAATACTACACATGGGAGTTTCTGAAGCCACTGTGCCTTGGTTGACTATCAGCATGTAAGTCTAGAGTACTGCTCTGAGAACAATCAGCAGGAAATTAAGTGAAAGTAGCTTCCTAGGCAGGAACACAGATGTGTCCCCAAGAAAACACGGAGCATTCATGAGATCTCACAAGACCCAAAATAGGAGCTATGAAGGATTAATTAATGAGAATCTAAAGTCTTTGAGAGTTTGTGGAAAGTATAGATTAACGAGAAGCTACTCTCCTTGAGAGTTTGCAGAAAATGGAGCTACATTTTTTGTGTGCTTGTTAGGATTTTCCGAATAAATCATTAAAAGCTCTGGTTCTTGGCTATCCAAGGGCACAAGCCCCAAAGATAACTGTTAGATATATTACTCTAGGGATTTTGCGATATTTGTTTGCTGTGTAGCAAGAAGTCTGGTTATTCTGATAGTAACAGAATGCTTATATTTTCTATATATGCTGAGAAAAAGAAACGCTGAGGGCTTTGGCCTTTGCCTTGGTCCCCTGTGCCTTGCTTTTTCTCTTTGTCTATCTGTGTGTTTTTTCCCTCAGCAGTGCTGTGTCCTCAGATCTCAGCCAGAAAATGGCTACAACTAAGCAGCATGCAAGAACAATGATTTTGTAAATTACTACCTAACCTGGGAGGGACTAGAGAGTGAACTAACTCAGTCTCATAAGGACAAATATTGTATAAGACCATTATTGTAGAATGAGTTTGAATATCCAAGAGGTGGGAAGGGTGGGACCAGAGGGGTGAGGAAGAGTGGGGGATGGGGGTGGTTAATCATAGGGTCAAATAATTTGATGTGTGGAGGGAAGGGTGGGTGAAGCAAATGGGAAAGATCTGATGTGGAAAACTACATATAAGAATTTTTTTAATAAACTAGTATTAAAAAAAACAAACACACAAGGAACTCATGAAATATACAAAATGGGTGAACCTGGAGGACATTATGCTGAGTGAAATATCTCAGTCACAAAAGGACAAAGAGAAGAACAAACTGGGGATGGAGATATGGGCAGGGAGAAAGTGCAACAATTAATGAATGGAAATCCAAAGTCTCTG